CTGTAGTGTAGACGTACCCCTGGAGAAGAATATTTTTGTGAGATGGGTCCTGAAGAGGGATGGGGAAAGTGGGTGGGAAGGGTGGTTAGAAGAAAAGGGGATACAATATCCATCCTTTATAATGTCCAATGCCCATCTGTCCGTTGTGATGGAGGACCATTGATGGTAAAAGGGTGCTAGACGTTGATGAAATAGGTAAATAGAATGGGGTCACCTTGAGCAGAGAGACTCGATCTGAAATTCAAAAAGTTTATCTTGAAGTTGATGGTTGAGAGGTGGAGGATTGGTCGGAGGTTTGCCTCCTCCTGTTCTGGCGCTGCCTCCTTCTGTTATTGAATTGCCTTTGTGCTTGGCGAAAAGGCGTGGGTGAAACTTCTTCCCTCTTTGTGCTTTACTGCATGGATATGGATACCTAACATCTTCAAGGTGGCATTGGAATCCTTGAGTGAGTGAAGGGAGGTGTCAGTGGTGTTGGTGAAGAGCTTAGCTCCCTGAAAGTAAAGATCTTCTACTGTTGCCTGGACCTCTTGGGGAAATCCAGACAAGTGTAGCCATGACGAACTCCTCATCACCACTGCTGTCACAATGAAGCAAGACACAGTCTTAGAGGCATCTAGAGCAGTATGAAGGGCTGTATATGAGATCCATTTACTCAAAAATGAGGTGTGTGTATTTGGCAAGCATGGCTGTGTAGTTTGATGTGCGTAGTTAGAGAGACGCAGAAGAATATGCCTTCCTTCCCATGAGGTCAAGACGTTTCCACTCCTTGTCATAGGGAGTGGTCCTCGTCGCACTCTGTTTTCCCATTTGGTTCATCACATCAACTACTAAGGAGCTAGGGGCCAGATGCGAGGACATGAAGTCAGCCCCCCTTGTGGTGCTATGTAGTATTTGTGGTCTGATCTCTTGCAGACCAGTGATACTGTCACTGGTATCTGCCAGATAGACTTGGCAGTATCCACAAGGGCTGGGTCTATGGGGAGGGCCAATTTGACTGTTGTGAGGCACGTAGTATATTGATTAATTTGTGCCAAGTCTCAGGGAGGATGACTAGTGAGATTTCCAGGACATCCGCCACCTTCCTGTAAAGCTCTTGGAAGGACTTAAAGTCATCTCCAGCTGTGGGAGGTGGAGGCATCAGTGTGTCATTGGGGGAGGTTGATGAGATGTGTGTTGGTGGGTACAAAGAGGTGGTAGACTCATCATCACTTGAGGGTGGCTCGGCCACCTCCTGGCACACTGATCTATCTAAGGACGGTATTGAGCTGGCCCTGATGGTACAGGTGGGGTTGGTTGAGGCAGCATTTGTTGTGGTTGCTGGGCTCTGTAGGGGCCCCAAAGGATCCCAGTATGGCTAGTTGGCTGGCATTAGCATGGGAGGTGGCAGCCTTTGGGGTGGTTGCCACTGGGGTAAAGCTTGTTGCATTTGTTGCTGCTGCTGCAGTTGAGACTGTTTGGGTGAGGAGTGCCTTGGTGAATGGGCACTGACGAGAGGCTCATGATCCTTGTCTCTCAACAATGGCGGTGCTGATCCCACAGGAGTGGATAAGGTAAACTTGCTGGATGTGCCAAATAAGGGGGTTGTCAGCATGGATATCATTCTTAGCTGCTCTGCTGTTGTTAACGGGAGCAGTTAGCTAAGTGCCGGTGCTGTCGGTATCAGAGGGAGTATGGAGGGTGGTAGTGACACTAACTGGATGTGGACGGTGCTAGTTGTGTAGTCATTGGAGCTGGTTGTTTGTGTTTCCTCAGTACCAGAGGCGGCATGGATACCAATGGCAGGGAGTACGTCTTAGATTTTTTTGATGCCGACAGAGCATCTGAAGAAGGCATTTTTGACTTAGACTTCACTGGTATCATATCAGAGGTGAGAAAGGCCAGCAGTGCTGACTTTGACTTAGGCTTCTCCGGTATCCTCGCAGCCACCTTTGGGGGTTCCCTTGGGTACCACACATGCACTATGGGGATAGGAACCAGGTAAGAACCTAGATAAATAAAAGCTGGATAAACAGAAAAGGGGTTGGAAGCTTCCTCCCTCTGCAGAAGCCATAGGGCAGGTTCTTTCACAAATTCTTAATTTAATGCCAGGAAGAATGTTCATCATAATGGCCTGTGCACCAGAATCCAAATGAGGCATGACTGGTCCACCACTTGGGGAATATATGCAGTGCCCAGGCAGCTAGCTAGAACATATGACGCTTCCAGTTACGTGTGTTAGACTGAGACACATGCTGCTTCTGATCAAAGCAGGTCAGTTTAACGTCTGTCCCAGGGAAGATAATGGAGCAGGTAATTAAGGAAATCATATGCAAACACTTGGAAGGTAATAAAGTGATAGGGAATAGCCAGCATGGGTTTGTGAAGAACAAGTCATGCCAAACTAATCTGATAGCTTTCTTTGATAAGATAACGAGCCTTGTGGATAAGGGAGAAGCGGTGGATGTCATATACCTAGACTTTAGTAAGGCATTTGATACAGTCTCGCATGATATTCTTATTGATAAACTAGGCAAATATAACTTAGATAGGGCCACAATAAGATGGGTGCATAATTGGCTGGATAACCGTAGTCAGAGAGTGGTTGTTAACGGTGCTAAATCCTGCTGGAAAGGGATAACAAGTGGAGTTCCTCAAGGGTCTGTTTTGGGACCCGTACTGTTCAATATCTTCATCAATGATGTAGATATTGGGATAGAGAGTACGCTTATTAAGTTTGCAGATGATACCAAACTGGGTGGGGTTGCAACTTCTTTGGAGGAGAGGGACATAATTCAAAATGACCTTAGCAAGTTAGAGAAATGGTCAGAGGTAAACAGGATGAGGTTTAATAAAGAGAAATGCAAAGTGCTCCACTTAGGAAGGAACAATCAGTTCCATACATACAAGATGGGAAGCGACTGTCTAGGAAGGAGCATGGCGGAAAGAGATCTAGGGGTCATAGTGGACCACAAGTTGAATATGAGTCAACAGTGTGATGCTGTTGCAAAAAAAGCAAATATGATTCTAGGTTGTATCAACAGGTGTGTTGTAAGCAAAACTCGTGAAGTCATTCTGCCGCTCTACTCTGCACTAGTTAGGCCTCAGCTGGAGTACTGTGTCCAGTTCTGGGCGCCACATTTCAAGAAAGATGTGGAGAAATTGGAAAGGGTACAGAGAAGAGCAACAAGAATGATTAAAGGTCTAGAGAACATGACCTATGAAGCCAGGCTTCATGAACTGGGCTTGTTTAGTTTGGAAAAAAGAAGATTAAGGGGGGACATGATAGCGGTTTTCAAATATCTAAAAGGGTGTCACAAGGAGGAAGGAGAAAATTTGTTCCTCTTGGTTTCTGAGGACAGGACAAGGAGTAATGGGCTTAAAGTGCAGCAGGGGAGGTTTAGATTGGACATTAGGAAAAAATTCCTAACTGTCAGGGTGGTCAAATATTGGAATAAATTGCCAAGGGAGGTGGTGGAATCTCCCTCTCTGGAGATATTTAAGAACAGGTTAGATAGACATCTGTCAGGGATGGTGTAGACAGAGCTTCAAAGTGCACAGAAAAGTGCATTGGTCTGGACCACCTTGAGGCCTCCTATGTCTAGCTCGAGGACAGTTGTGCAGGACATAAGACTAATACTGTACTTCTAACCTCTGATCTAAGATAAAGGACAGGATATCGTGTGTCTCACCAGTGATTCATAGCTCAGACTATTACCACATTCAGTTGTGTACATTTCCTAACTTTTTTGTGTACTCACCTCCCAACCCAGTCCACAGTTAGACCATCCGGATTAACTATGTATCTCAGATTCAAGTCAACTTCCTTCACAGGATTGTTTCCACTGCTGTCAAATGTGGGGAGATAAGCACGTTTGATAGATCCGAACTCAGAGCCATGTCCCAAAGTGCTGTAGTATACAATGCCTACAAAAAAAATCAAAGATTATTTTCACTGCGCGGTCTTTTGACATATTTACTCATTTTTGGAAAATCCTAGCGCTGCAGCAATAACTATCAGATATGAAATACCAATTCAGCATATTGCCATTTGTGAGAATCCCATACCAGTCCCTCCCCCAGGAAAATGTCAAATAAAGGAAAATTTGCACAAATTCTAGAATCGTCAGTCTAAAATGCACACTTTAGATAAGATGTACAGCTGAGATCATTAAAGACCCCATACCACATTTTGTAAGAGTCGGTGCCTTGCCCCGATGTCTGTTTTATTGCACAGGGCTGGCACACTCTTGTGAGCCCATACAGGGGCCACATGGCAGGGGGTGAGTTCAGTGGGAAGGCGGCATATGTCAGAACATAAGGCTCCACCAACCTTTTCCCCTATGGGTGAATGGTAGAGGAAAGACACATGAATGCAAACTACTGCAGTCCTGAAGCCCTGCTGAAATTAGAAGAGACCACTAGCTGTGGCCAGCTCTGAAGTTGGGGGTGCCAGGATGAGGGGCTTCTTGCACCCTGCTATGCTTGCACTCATGGCAAGGACCAGCCACAATCTTCCCATAAAAGTCACAACGTCCTTGGGTAAGAAAAGAAAGGGAAAGAAAGAGACAACAGACCAAAACACGCTGACTAGAGGTAGTAAAAGAACTGACAGAGCGGGAGAGGATAGGCATGAGGGAGACATAAAAGCTGCAGAACATGTCGACTCCACTAATCTTATTTGTTTGTAAATGAAAAGGGAAAATTAACCTCCAAAACTAACACTAGTTCTGAAAGAAATACTGCTGGGTTAAATATGAGAGCTTCAAATATACTCACTCAGGCCTATCCCCTCAGGATCCCAGTCATAGTCTATAGCTTGGATGTGCTCCTGGTTATCAATGTAGTCAGAGTACTGCTGTGATGAGATATTGTATCTCCGAATACGCACATTGTCTGGCAGGAGTAACAATGGGGGGTTACCTGGAAAGCAATGATAGGTTTCACTTCTCTGAATTCAATAGTATTCTCACATGGGAAGCAGGTGAAAATTAGTAATGATCAAGCCTAGATTAAACTTTACAGAGACTGTGTTTGGATGAGAACCTGGTAGAACAAATACTTACTTGGACATTGTCTGAACTAACCAACCTTTTGGGGTCTGGAAAACTGGTTTCAGATCCTACAATTACTTATTGCTGCACTCGGTGTTAACTACTATCACTAGTCCTGTAGAAGTCAATGACATTACCATAATAAACACTAAGCCTAGCAAAAGTGTTTGCAGGTTCAGGCCCTTGGACTGGAAAAACTGAAAACTGTTTTTTCATAAGTTTTCTTACATACCTTGACATTTCAGCTTTTAATAATTCTTACAGCAAACAGGCTGGGTGTCTTGTGTCCTCTTTGTAAAGTTATATTATTTAACTGAATATACTACAATGTTGTCATTTATCACTAAGGGTATGTCTACACTACAGAGTTTTTTTGGGAAAATGGCCGTTTAAAAAAAAAACTTCAATTACGTCCACACTGCAATCACATTCTTCTGAAAAAAAAAATAAAAAAAACAGAGGGGGTTTTCCAACATTGGTAATACTCATTCTACGAGGAAGAAGCCTTTTTCTGAAAGAGCTCTTTCAGAAAAAGGCATATGTAGATGGGGAAGAGGGAGTTCTTTCAAAAGAAGAGGAAAAAGGAAAAAGCACAGGTGCCTTGGTGGCCACTCCATCCATAGTAATCACAGCTGAAATGCAAGATACACTGAATGGACACTATCTTTCAAAAAAGCAGATTGCTTTTTCGATGCACTTTTGCACTGTAAACGCTCTCTTTGGAATAAGTTTTTCTCGAAGATCTCTTCTGGAAAAACTTCTTGGCTGTGTCTACACTGGCATCCCTTCCGGAAAAGGGATGCTAATGTAGCACTTTGGAATAGGCAAATCCGCGGGGGATTTAAATATCCCCCGCGGTATTTGCATTAACATGGCTGCCGCTTTTTTCCGGCTTGGAGATAAGCCGGAGAAAAGCGCCAGTCTAGACAAGATTCTCCATAAAATAAAGCCTTTTCCGGAGGATCTCTTATTCCTACTTTCAAGTAGGAATAAGAGATCCTCCGGAAAAGGCTTTATTTT